GTTTTACTGTTTTACCAATATTTTCAGACCATTTTGCCGCTATATCTTTCACTGAAGTTCGTTGATGTTCAATTATAGTCGACGTGAAGTAATTTTTTGAGACTCGACGTCTGTTTGCGGAGGCGTGATCGATTTCACGCCTGAAATGACATGTCCGTCCGTCTGTCTGGATGAAAGCTTGGATTTCGGAATCGGTTGAGCGCACATTCACCAAACTTGGTATATTGACGCTCCTAGTCCCTAGGCTACACGAGGTAATTTTATTTATTGGAATTTTCTCCCCCTTCCCCTGCTACAGAATTTCGTCAATATCGTCCATTTTTCAAAAAAATTTATACATAATAATCTATTTATGTATCAAAATTACTAGCGAAACAATTTCTCCCCGGTACTATGCCCACAAGCTGCAGCATCAAGTTCGCATATACCTGAGTGTCGGAAGTTTACCTGGGAACAGGGTTTTTCAATGTCGGGCTTGCTCGACTGTAGCGGTCTCTCTTGTTTTTTATACCCTGTACCCGTAGGATAAAAAGGCTATATTAAGTTTGTGCAAAGTATGTAACATGCAGAAGGAAGAATCTCCGACCCCATAAAGTATATATATTCTGAATCAGCATGACGAAAGAAATCGATCTAGACATGTCCGTCCGTCTGTCCGTCCGTCTGGATGAACGCAAGGATCTCAGAAACTATAAAAGCTAGAATAACCAAAGTTGGTATCCAGATTCTCCTAGGTCCGAGAAAGGACCAGTTTATTTTATTTTTTGGAATTCCCCCCATTCCTACGCTACAGAATTTCGTCAATAGCGTCCACATTTTAAATGCTACCTAAACCTGCATACATAATTTATATATAATTATCTACTGTTGTTTAAAATTTTATCCAATTCGGTCAATTCTAAGAAAGGTTATTAGCAAAACAAATTCTCGCCAGTACAACCCCCCCAAACTGCAGCAACAAGTTCGCTCTTCTTTCTCCTCTTTTTGCTTCTGCTATGGGCGCAGTGTCGGAAGTTTACCTGGGTACAGGGTATTTCACTGTCGGGCTTCCTCGACTGTAACGTTCTCTCTTGTTTGATTTTGATTTTGTTATTTTTTATACCCTGTACCCAAAGGGTATAAGGGTATATTAGTTTTGTGCGAGTGCTTATGGAACACACAGAAGGAGGCTTGGTAGACCCCACAAAGTATATATATTCTCAAGCCGAATCGATATAGCCATGTCCGCCTGTCCGTCCGTCTGTCTGTCCGTCTGTCTGTCCGTCTGTCTGTCCGTCTGTCTGTCCGTCTGTCTGTCTGTATGAACGCAAGGATCTCCGAAAGTATAAGAGCTCGAATAACAAAACTTGGTATACAGATTCTCTTGAGCCCGAGAAAGGACGAGTTTGTTCATTTTTTCTGATCCACCCCTCCACTTCCCCCCTATTAACGATTTTCTATAACTCCCGTAATTCTCGGAATTTTGAACTAAAATTTGGTAGTCACATTAGGTTAGTGATTATATATCCGCATACCAAGTTATGATAGAATGATTGGAAAAAAAGTTATAGCCATATAACCAGGCCCAATGCACACATACATACATATGTACAAGTACACAAACACGCATAGGCACGATTCTGATGTAAATGTTTGTATGCATGTATGGAATATTTTATATTTAATTTAGTTAATTAATTAATTTAATTTCTTTTTTGTGGGGTGGTACAGGGTATTTAAGAGTTGAGCCTGCTCGACTTTAGCATTCCTTTCTTGTTTAAATTGATATATACAAGTAGATAGCTACAAAGTATTTTTTCTAAACAGTAACTTAAAATGCATTAGGCTTCCTATTATTTACTTTATGTGATTTCATTCTTTTTATCGCGCAAGTGAATGCACTCACGCTGGATTTGATGAACTTCGTACTGTAATTCAGCTACATATAGTACATATGTATATGTATGTATTATGTGTGTGTATGTAGATATACATATATGTCAGAATCAACAACATTTTTGTACACCCTAAACACACAGAACGGGGCATAGCTGACCACGCAATCAGTCTGAAAAACCCAATTGAATCCGTCCGTTAGCATGACCACAAAGATTTTGAATAGTATAGGAGCTAGAATAAACAATGTTGGCACCCAGATACATACTATACTCCTAAGTCCGAGGAAGGAAAAATTCCTTTTTTTCTCAATGCACCCACCCACCTATAACCTCTGTACTGCACATATATCGTATATCTTTAATTATATGTACGTATTATTTTTATTAATTTAAAATAAATTTTAAAAATATAATTTCTAAAACATTTCTTTTTGGAGGGGGCTACATGTTGACTCGACTAAAATTAATGAGATTCACTACCCACTTAATAGCCTTATATTTATTAAACCCATGTCAGTGGGTATAATTATATATCTACATATTAATGTTCACATATTATATGTATGTATGTATATAAATTTTAATTATAACAACAGGGATGAATTATAACAATGTTTTAATTACAATTCAGCAGAACTCAAGATAATTTGCATTATTAGTATATGTACATATTAGTATATGTACAGGAAAGGAATGCTAGAATCATTCTTCACTCTTTAATGTCAACTTTTTTATGCCCTGTACTTACAAAATTTTTTTGGCTGTATGTATAAAAAAAATGGTTATGTATGATTAATAATAAACTTGTTTTGTGAATAATCAAATCTGTAAATCAAGTTTGATATCCCAAGCTATTATGTTTAAAAGCACGTTGTGTTCATATAGACGGACAGACGGGGTCGGCCACGCCTCCTTCTGTTTGTTTTATACATTTAGCGCTCAGATTGGAGTAACCATAGGCTCCGTATAAAGAGCGGCCACGATTAAAATCCTAATGCAATCCCAAAAATGGTGGTAAATGAATCATCAAATACATCCATACATATATACAAGTACTAATTTAAACACAATTGAGTGAGCTTTTGCATTTTATGTACTATATATTTGTATCTCGTCAAGTTTTAAAAGATTATTTATCAGGGATCCATTCTAAGTACAATACATACATAGTTTAAGGAAGGGAGGGAAATTCCAAAATACACATTTTCTGCGTATTAACATAAGGCATCTGGGACTAAAATTTGGTGTCCCTAGGTCTTATAGTCTCTGAGATATAGGCGATTATACGAATGGAAAATCGGGAAACCCCCCATAGGGGGAAAATAAAAAAAAACAAGAGAGAACGCTACAGTCGAGCAAGCCCGACAGTGTAATACCCTGTACCCAGGTAAACTTTCGTCACTGAGTTATATGCGCCCATAGCAGCAGCAAAAAGAGGAAGAAGAAGAGCGAACTTGTTGCTGCAGTTTGGGGAGGTTGTACTGGCGAGAACTTGTTTCGCTAATAACTTTTCTTAGAATTGACCGAATTGAATAAAACTTTGAACAACAATAGACAATTATATATAAATTATATATATTAGGTTTGTGCAAAGTATGTAACATACAGAAGGAAGCATCTCCGACCCCATAAAGTATACATATATATTCTTGATCAGCATGACGAGAGAAATCGATCTAGACATGTCCGTCCGTCTGGATGAACGCGAGGATCTCAGAAACTATTAAAGCTAGAATAACCAAAGTTGGCATCCAGATTCTCCTAGGTCCGAGTAAGGACGAGTTTATGTTTTTTTTTTTAATTTTCCCCCCCTTCCCCCGCTACAGAATTTCGTCAATAGCGTCCACATTTCAAATGCTACCTAAACCAAACTTTGCACACATAATTTATATATAATTGTCTACTTTTGTTTAAAATTTAATTCAATTCTGTTAATTCTAAGAAAAGTTATTAGCGAAACAAATTCTCGCCAGTACAACCTCCACAAACTGCAGCAACAAGTTCGCTCTTCTTCTTCCTCGTTTTGCTGCTGCTTTGGGCGCATATAACTCAGTGACGAAAGTTTACCTGGGTACAGGGTATTACACTGTCGGGCTTGCTCGACTGTAGCGTTCTCTCTTGTTAACTTTTGGGTATAGTACAATCATGAGACAGGGGAATACTCCCTAAAAAATTTGAACCTAATGTACATGTGTATGTATATGTATGTACATATATGCAGCAGCCTTACGCAACCTCAACTATACTTACATATGTACATATGTATGTATGTTTGTGCATAAGTCGTCTCCTCATCTCATACATGCTTATGCATGTAAGTATGTATGTATACGAATGTGTAGGAATGTCGATTTTTGTTAGAATCGCTTGTATCTACATACATACATACATACATATGTATTTAAAATTCGCAAAGCAACTCAACGGTAGGTCGACTTTTACGAATGCAGAAAAACAAAACAAAGAGGTATTGTTGTTGTCTTTTATTTTAGCTGGAGCGGACAGACAGCCTGAAGCAGTCAAATATAAATGTCATATTGTATAGTATGTATAGTAAGTATGTACATAATATGTATGTATGTTTATTAGCGAGGATCTTTAAAATATTAATTGAGTAGCCCGATTGAAGCGAAATGCATGTTAAATTTAACCACTAATTTCGCTTGATTATAGCAATACTTGTTTGAATTATCTTGCATGAACTTAGCAAGCTAAGTGCTTGATTGATTTAAGCTAAAAACTTACTTGGTTTGAGTATGAAATCGAATTGACATGACTCAGCTTGCTAGATTTGACTAAGAAACTTGCTTTATTTTTACAAAGAAACATGCTTTATTTGACTTTGTAACTTGCTCAATTTAATCAATCAGGTACTTACTCGTACATACATGTGCATGTACATATATACATATGTACCTACATTTAATGAATTAATATTATGGGTACGTCACGATCGCAAAGTCGTCGCCAGCCGCAGGTTCAATGAACGCATTTAAAAATGTACACATACATATGCACATACATATGTACATGTACATGTATTTGTTTAATTCCATATACATACATACATACATATTACGCATTAATTGATGTACGCAAATGCATACTCGTATTAATACATACATTTAGCACAGATACACAGGAATGGGGGCACTCTGCACAAAGTTCACTTTCTTTCGTTGCGAATAGTTTAGCTTTCTCTCTCTATATTTCACCTTCTTTCAGATCTTTATATATTTATGTATTTACATATGTATATACAAGCATATGCTATAGCACAATACACCTTCTGCAAGTGCGCGCGGCCTGAAATGGGACTGGACGACGCTGATGACTTGTTGCACAGAGAAACGAATGTGAACTGAAAACAAATAAAGGAAGAATAGCTTTGCAGCAACTAGTAGACCAACCGGCAAGCACACAGTTGCATACATTTTCCCAAGTGCATACACATGCATACACACATGTACATCTGCTTACATACATACATCAATATGCATGAGCATACACACAAAGGCATATGCGCAGTTGTATACAAAGGTAAAGCTCGAAGAATCATTCTGTTCACGGACGTTGCAGGATTTCAATTATGCTGTTGAAACTATTCATAAGATTTCATAATAGCAATAGTACAAGTGACCCTAGGGATGATAATTCATTAGATCGATAGCGTACATAACATTTCTTCTCCTTCTAAGGAGACTCTCTCTCGCACTCTTCGAATGATGCTCCTCCGGTGTATATAAACTTCGTGGTGGTGTTGCCTATGGACTCTCAGAGAAGTGAGTACAGTTCTCAGCTGCGCGTGAAGCGATTTAGGTACAAAACTGACTGCGTCGAGTGTAGTAGACTGATCTTTGTTGTTGTTTTCTTTATCGGTGCTGCTTGCTGTTCGTAGTTCAGCAATTTCATCATTGTGGATGGGTGTATAGCTTGTCATTTTCTCTACATGTTTCTCCTCCTTGCGCAGAGATTGTTGCGCATCTTTTACACCTGTACCTCGAATTTGGTTTAGGTGCAGATAAAGCAGATAAAGCGGATATTGATATGCAGAACCTCAAATTGCAGATTACCCAGCCGTCTTGTGACTTTACCACGAATCCACTTGTCCAGGGTTTCTTTCATGTTTACTTTCCGGTCTAATCAACTCCAATCGCGTGCGTAGATTTCGGCCCAGGAATAGTTTTGCAGGGGGCTCGCCTGTTGTGCAGTGTGGCGCGTTTCTGTACTGTCGCAAATATTCCGTTAGTTTATGGTATTTAACGCCGACAGAAGATAAATATTGACTAAATTCAGCTGAAGTGAAGTTGGTTCCATTACCAGAAACCACAACCAATGGAACACCATGTCTTATAAACAAGTCGTCCAGTAATGCGATCGTTGCGAATGATGTAGCTGTTTTTGTGACCAATACCTCTAGCCACTTAGAAAACGCGTCTGTAACTACCAGCAATGCTCCTTCAAATGGTCCCGCATAGTCAATATGGATGCGCTCCCATGGCGATTTAGGATATTCCCAATAATGGTCGGAACATTTGGGAGTCTAACCGCATGTTTAGCCCACATATCCCATGTTCCTGCAGTGTTTTCGACGACAGACCGTACGATGCCCTTCATCTTTACCACACCTGGATGGGCCCAATGCAGTTCATCAAGAATTTGTTGTTGCAACATCGGGGGAATTACTACTCGATGTTCAGCATTTGTAGAATTTGTCCCAAGTGTTGATCCTTTCTGGTTTCTCGTGAAATAGTTGATACTGTTACTGGTAGCTGGTTAACCTGTCGTACTATGAATTGGTCAAATTCATCCAGCTCTCTGCGCTAATCTTGTTGATGTTACAATTTACGAGGCGTGGCAGGCCCCACAAAATATGTATATATATTCTTGATCAGCATGACAAGACGAGTCGATCTATGTCTGTCCGTCCGTCCGTCCGTATGAACACCTGGATCTCAGAGACAATAAAAGGTAGAGACACCAAATTTTGCACAAAGATGCGTTTTGTGTGTACGCTGCGCAAGTTTGTTTTATTAATTTTTTTTGATTTTCGCTCCCACTTCACCTCTAAGGAGGTTTTCCCGATTTTCCATTCGTATAATCGCCTATATCTCGGAGGATATAAGACCTAGGGGCACCAAATGTGAATACGCAGAAAATGTGGAATTTTGGGAATTTCCCTCCCTCCCCCCTCTCCCCCGCAAATGCGATTTTCTTTAACTCCCGTAATTCTTGGAATTTCGAACTAAAATTTTGCAAATACCCCCAGTTAGTGATTATGTGTCCATATGCCAAGTTCCATTATGATAGACCGATTTAACAGGAAGTTATAGCCATAAATATTATTGCTTCCCAAGCGCAGCTGTTGTTGATGCTCGTGCTTCGGTTGACTGCAAACATGCTCACACAGATACGAATATATGCGCACATATTCATACACTAAATTGCTTTGTATGTATATGTGCAATTTTACACCCTTTACGTGAGTACAAATACCGAGAGAGGTAAAATCGATACATTTTTTTTATTTTCTTCATTTTTTTAATTTCTAAAATTATTCTAAACATGTGGACAGAGTATTTCAAAGTCGGGACACCCGACTTTAGCTTCCCTTCTTGTTTTACACGGTTTTTTTACACGACTTTCTTAGGAACCAATCTAGCGTGTAAAAACAGAATTAGGTGTACAAACATATATTTCTTTATAGATAATGAACCAATCACCTATTTGTGCATATGACCTTTGTTTTTTTTACACGGTTGTTTCTGGAACCAATCTATCTTGTAGAAACAGAATTAGGTGTATTTCTCTTATTGGCGAATTATTTATTGATTAAATATGAAAAGAATTTTGTATTCAATTTCAAATGAAGGTATACGTGTATTTATCCAATAGCCTACACCCTATACTATGCGTCTTTGTCTGAGGAAAGCCTCTGTATACTACTGTACATCAACCTTAGAAGGTCTTAAGCCTTTTCTTCGAATGAATTTAATTCAAATCAAGGACAATGTGGTAAAAAAAAGAATTCTCTCGGGCTTAAAAGTTTCTGCAGCATGAAATGTCTAGTGAATACATATATAATCTGACAGGTGAAAAACATAACAGCCAGAAGGATTTGCGGTACAAAGTTTATACATACATATATGTATGTATAACACATAATTGTAATGGCAGTTATAGCCATAATATTTATCTTTGCCCAAGCTCTGAGCGCAGCTGTTTTTGGATCTTTGGCGCAACTCTGTACTGCACACATGCTCACACAGACACATAGACTCACATAGACGCAATTCTTGAAAATGTGCAGTTATACAGCCTTTACGTGAGTTCGAATACCCAAAGATGTTTTTTTATACTCTGTACCAAGGGGCCGTTAATTTTTAGACCCCCTTTGGTAAAAGCTTCGTACGCCGTTGCCCTGTACCCAAAGAGTAAAAAGATATACCCCGAAAACTAAACATATATTAATCAGGGCGACAAGCCGAGTCGATATAGCCATGTCCGCCTGTCTTAAACTAAGAACTGGTTTGTGAAGGCCGAGATAGGAACTAAAATCGTACTGAGCTGACAAATTTAGTTCGTATATATACGGATGCATATGTATGTACACATATGTGCGTACAAGGTGAGTTTGACAAAGAAATTCATGTCCTTCCGCATATTGCGTATTAACTCAATTACCCACCGTAACTATCAAATCTGGGTTGCTGCAAGTTCTGTGTATTTAATGCGACTAAAGCCCCGACTTCCAGACAAATTTATTGCAAATCGGTTGATAAATTGAAAAGTCAAATCAATTGTACAAAAGCCAGTAAGCAGAAATTCAATATGTCTGTAAAATAATCAAGAAGGTGCATCAGATCTCAAGTTAAAGGTTCATACGGTGCACTATGGTCCCAAATCCACATTTTTTGGCATAAATTAGAAATATTAAGATATTTGCCCCAAATTTAGTTCGTACGCATATTTTGGCCTCTAAGACGACATACCAAGTTTGATTCAGTTTGGTCCACTAATTCATATAGCTGCCATATAACCGATATGGCCGACTTTTACTAACTTTGGTATTTTATGCAGTGTTAAAATAGGCCTATAATTCTCTCCAGTGCAATATATTTCAGTTTACCAAATAGTTTATTTAATTTAGTTAATATTCCCACCTTACCTCTCTTTCGTATACAGAATATTGTCAATACTGTCCACATTTCGAAAGCTATATAAACAAAACTTTTCACGCGGATTCTATTTACAACTATCTAGTTTTGTTTTAAATTTAATCGAAATCGATCAATTTATAGAAAAGTTATTAGCGAAAAAATTCAGTCCAGTACTATGCCTACAAACTGCAGCATCAAGTTCGCTCTTCTTCTTCCTAACTTAGTGCCGGAAGTTTGTCTGGGTACAAGGTATTCCACTCAAAATGACCATCAACTTCTACAACCATGTTAAAAGCAAATCAATTCGTGTGTTTTTTTGAAATTCTATAGAGTTTCATTACAACGCGGCTTGTGGTTTTTAATATAATTGGCGAAGGCTTTTACTTTTTCCGATATCAACATTCATCTATGACTTTTATGGCTTACGATATGGCTTAGAAATTGATTCTACATACCTTGATCTTTGCTTTCCCTACTTATACTATTATTTTTAAATAAATACAAGTAGAACCACTTTCATGATATGCGAAAGTTGGCAAAAAGCTTCCTCCAATTTGCAAATGTCAGGGCTGTCACCGATCAGCTAAGTACATGAGCGTGCCAAATTAACAGGGTTGCAACAAAGCTCAAAACAAAAGTTGTGTTCTAATTGGGGTGTCTATTTATTATACCCTGTACCCGTAGGGTAAAAAGGGTATATTAGGTTTGTGCAAAGTATGTAACATGAAGAAGGAAGAATCTCCGACCCCATAAAGTATATATATTCTGAATCAGCATGACGAGAGAAATCGATCTAGACATGTCCGTCCGTCCGTCTGTCCGTCTGGATGAACGCAAGGATCTCAGAAACTTTAAAAGCTAGAATACCCAAAGTAGGCATCCAGATTCTCCTAGGTCCGAGAAAGGACGAGTTTATTTATTTATTTTTTAATTTTCCTCCCCTTCCCCCGCTACAGAATTTCGTCAATAGCGTCCACATTTCAAATGCTACCTAAATAAAACTTTGCACACATAATTTATATATAATTATCTAATTATCTGTTGTTTAAAATTTTATTCAATTCGGTCAATTCTAAGAAAAGTTATTAGCGAAACAAATTCTCGCCAGTACAAACTGCAGCAACAAGTTCGCTCTTCTTCTTCCTCTTTTTGCTGCTGCTATGGGCGCATATAACTCAGTGACGGAAGTTTACCTGGGTACAGGGTATTACACTGTCGGGCTTGCTCGACTGAAGCGTTCTCTCTTGTTGAAATTGTATTTATATCCCAAAAATATCTTCAGAAATTTTTAGATTTTATGCCGCTGTGGGACCATAGTGCAGTGGCTCACAGCTTATTTCGGACAACCATTGTAAAAATGTTTAAAACGCTGTAGCAGGTAAACAATTTCTAATATACACATTATTCAAACGCAGATTTGTAGCTATTTATGAAGGAATTTATGTTGAAGTAATTTCTGTATAGCTTTATTTTTTAACAAAATGAAATGCATGAGATTGCACCTAGAAGAAGGTTACAGCTTACGAGTATGTCGTGCAGTTCCTAATTTTCGCGATAACAGGCGAATGGTGCTTAGAAACCAAATTTTTGTTTGCACCATAACCTGTAAAATAATTTATTTGCATATGAAAATGGACAGTCAACCGGGCTCACGGCAAAATCATACAACTCAACTTAAAAATTAATAATTAAACGTTGCTGTTCATATTAAAACTGCGACATATTTATAAAAAGGATAATTAAAGAAGAGATAAGTGGTGATTAGGTATCGTTAGACCAACTGTAGTTATTATGAGAGTCGAAAAATCCCTTCGATTCTAGTCGTTGCTAATTACTTGTCAACAGCTGTACATAAGGCATCTTTGTGCAAAATTTGGTGTCTCTCCTTGCGTCATACAGACAGACGGACGGACGGACATGGCTATATCGACTTGCCTTGTCATCCTGATCAATAATATATATACTTTGTGGAGTCTGCCACGCGGCCTTCTGTGTGTTACATACATTCGCACGAAACTAGTATAGCCATTTACCCTTTGGGTGCAGGCTTTAAAAAATGAAAAAACAATGTTAATTAATTGAAAAAAAAATATATTAATTAAATTATTTAACTAAATGTACATGTTCATGTACAATTTCAACAGCATACATTTACATCAGAATCGTGTCTCTGCGTGATTATATGCGTGTATGGATGCAGCACAAAGTTGAACCAAAGCAGCAGCAACAACAACAACTGCGGGCAAGCATGGACAGCGATTTTATTTATGGCCATAACTTTCTTCAGAGTTGACCTATCATGATGAAACTTGGCAGACGGACACATAAGCACTTACTGGATGTAACTACCAAAATCGATTTCCAATTACCAAGTTTGGTAATTCTAGCTCTTGTACCTTTTGAGATTCTTGCGCTCATACAGACAGACGGACGGACGGACATGGCTATATCGACTTGTCTTGCCATCCTGATCAATAATATATATACTTTGTGGAATCTGCCACGCCGCATTCTGTGTGTTACATACATTCGCACAAAACTAGTATAACCTTTTACCCTTTGGGTACAGGCTATAAAAAGGCTAAAATGGCAACCCTGGTGGGTAATACCAACTACCCTACCTATACCAACCTAACCTACATAGGTTGGCACGCAAAATTCAAACAAAACGGATAAAAAATTTTGACATTAGTTCCAGTACTCACACTTACTGACAATGTAATTATACATATGTATACATAAATATGAAAGCTTTTACGTACTCGTTTGTATGTATTTATGGACGCATGTACATACATATGTACATATGTATATATAAAATATTTGTTTTTATTCACAGGTTACATGTTTATGAAACCTTTTGATCGATGTTAGCTTACGTGACTATAAATAAAAATGTATTTACAACTATGCCATCTAATTAAAGACATCAAATATATAAACATAAAAACCCCAAAAAGAATACAGAATACTCCATTATAAATGTATAAAAAGCTTTTCGGACCGAAAAAAGGTAAGGCTATAAATTTAGCGCGTAGTCTTCAATTTCCAACGTAAAAAGAGATATGCGGAAATACGTAGAACCACGAAAATCACAATAAGTGCCACAATGTCTAGGGTGAAGTTTGCATTCACCATGTCGAGTTCTTCCAGCGTGGTCATCGGTGATTTAAAATGGCAATATACCTGGTAGCACTTCAACTTCTCACGTCCATAGCCGTAAGTAGCTAATGCTGTGCCTTCAAACCCGTATCGAATGTAGGATAGATAGGTGATCCATCGCAAATACACTGGAATCGCGTCGAAAGAAACGAAGAATCCGGAAAATAGCAGGAACGGGACAGACATGACAGGTGCTAAAAACACCCCGTTTTGTACATTCATCGCGGCTCCCACGACCAACCCCACAGATTGCGCAACAAAAGATATGAGTAGACATGCCGATAAGAACATGGAGAAACGTAGCAGTTCCCATGGTTGGGAAGTAAAGTAATAAACGATGGAAACATAGATGACGCAAAAAATGGCCTAAAAATTGAAAGCAATGTATTAATAAACAGTACACAATAAAATAATATTAAACGCACCTGGAATGGTAAATCTGCAACAGAGATAGCTAAATAGTATGATTTTAGTGAGTACCATCGATTAAAATTCTCTTTGAGCAGCACAGGCATCTCAAGTGGGACTGGGGACCATACAATTAGTAAGTATCAAATATCAGCAAATATATTCATAAAAACTTACATGATAAAATAGTTATTGTCATGGAGGTGTACATTAGGAATAACATATTGAAAAATAGAAAGCCCAAATTGCTAAGAACCTTAGCACCATCATTGCCTATATCGTAATAAAGGGCACCAATCAGAAATCCAACCAACAAATGAGCAAACAGACGTAAATACATGAGGGTCTAAGACGTATAAGTAATATAAGATTAGTTTTACGGTTTTCTATTATAAAAATGAAATTTCCTTAATATCTTACCCAATCTCGATAGCTAAACAATAATGTACGCTTCAACACCACCCAAAACTGATGGAACTGCGATGTTGGATAACGTTCAGGCGAAGTAATCTCAGCTGATAGCAGTGCTGTTGTACAATTGTCCGTCTTCTCTACGTCGATCATAGAATCACCCTTATCATTAGTGCTTACAAGAACCTTGCTTGGGTTCGTCTTCACAATGTCGTTGACCATGCCACTGAGCAATCCATTATTTAAAGTTAGGTTATCTTCGTATTTGCTTCCACTGACGTTGGAGGCATCATTCTTGTCTAAAATGGCCTTCAAGTTTTGAACCTTAATTAGATCATTGCGCGCCTTCAGTCCCGCATAGTCAGCCGACGAGCGAATGTCGCGTTTGCCGTTATCAATTGCCTCGACGAGCTTTCGTGTGTGATCACCGTGTTCACCACAAGACACTTCGATAACATAGCTCGCCGGATTGTGGTAACTGGGACATTCAAGGTTCAGTGTAGATAGGAATGGCACCAGCTGTCTTGTGCTGCCTTGGTACACACATTGACCGTCCGCTAAAGTATAGAGTTGATCAAACATCTCGAATAAGCGTGCTGACGGCTGATGTATGGTGCAAATTATAGTTCGACCGCCAGCGGCCAACATCTTCAGTAAATGTATGCACTGGAAGCATGTCGAACTGTCCAGCCCAGAGGTGGGCTCATCGAAGAACATTACAGGCGGATTTGTTATCAGCTCCAAAGCAATAGACAGACGTTTCTTTTGGCCACCGGATAGATTTCGTGTAAGGGTATTGCGGTGTTCGCTCAGACTTAACGTCAGCAAAATGTCATCAATCTGAAAAAAACGGAAATTAGATGATTAGAATTATTTTATTGATTATAAAAACAAATCGGAAAGATCACCCTAGAGGTTGTTTTTTTATTTACGGAATGATCGCACGATTAATAATGCATCGGAAATATTTTTGAATCATGATTAAATTGTTCTTGTAAAATGTTTAATTCATCTACTCACCATTGAATTTTTTTCTGGTTTGGTAAACTTTTTGCTCAGCTTTAGATTTGTTGCAACGGACATGGCTTCCTGCACTGTTAAATTCCCGTGTAATTGGTTATCCTGCATTATGTATGCAGAAAGTTTACGAAATGTACTTATATTACGCTCGGCACCATTCATGGTGACACTGCCTTCAATACTCGACGTTCTGTGAAGAGAAATATGTTTGTATATATATATATATATATCCATTATTAAATAATGCTAATATTAGCAGCAACAAGAACTGGGCATACGTACATATAATCACAACAGAACATATTTGCCAAATTTGCCAAGAACTACGGAAGTTATGGAAAATCACTAATTGTGTGTGTGTGTGTGGGGGGGGTGGGGGCAGAAAATTCTTTTTCTGGCATATTGGACTAAAATTTGGTGTCTCTAGATGTAATAGTCTCTGAAATCTAAGTATTTATACGGACAGACAGACCGACAGGGCTACGTCTTCTTGTCATGTTGATCAAGAATAACATATATGTGTATACTTCGTTGGGGGGCGGGGGGTTGTATCGCGAAAAATTAACAACCTTGGCCTTTCTCGGGCTCAGAAGAATCTGTATACCAAGTTTGGTTATTCTAGTTCTTATAATTTCTAAGATCCTTGCGTTAATACAGACAGACGGACACGGCTATATCGACTTGTCATCCTGATCCAGAATATATGTACTTCGTGGGGGTACAAGTACTGCCACGCATCCTTCTGAGTACACTCGCACAAAACTAATATACCATTTTACCCTTTGGGTAAATAAATGTATAATAAACTCGTGTACCAATATTAGAAGAGCGGGCTTTATTGTGGGATTTATTTCATTTGTGCTTTTAACTAAATATTGGCGTTCAATAATGAATAGGCCAAACAAATTTTACATATGACGGCCCCTCTGCATTTACTATTAGGAGGGAACATGCAATTTATACTTATTTAATAACTTTTGGTCTTTTCGTAACAAAAACCGACTTGGTAACGAATAAGTCATTTTATCTTGCCTTTTATTTAACAAAAAAGCGCTAAGGCTACTAATATTTTAATAAACTAATAAAGATAATAGAGAGGTGTGCGTTATTATTGTGGTGTAAATATTTCGTTTCTAGTAATGTGCAAACGTGTCACTGAAATTTAATGACTACGCTTATTGTTGTCGTGCAAAGTGCAAAGTTCTCTGGTTCAAGTTTACGGAGCGACGCTGTGAGCAAAAATACTTATCAAGTCATAGGAAGCTTCTTAGTTAAATTAAAAGCTTTGTAGAAAACACGCTAATTGTACGTATACGTACATACATGAAATATGAATAGAGAAATGTTATAACTTACTTGTAGCCAGACAAAATGTTGAGTAACGTACTTTTTCCTGCCCCAGATGGTCCCATAATGGCAGTAAGCTCACCCGAACGTAACCGTCCACTAACACCTTTAAGTATTGTTTTGGCATCTGTTTTTGAAGATAAAAAATAGTTTTTTTATTTACTCGTTTGTATATATTTAATAAAACCAGAGACTTTGGATTGGGTATAAGATGAGTGTACCACATATCCATTGACTTTAAATTGTTAACAAAAAATTTAACAAAATGATTAGTCATCCATCGATTTCAGGTTAATTTTTTTACAACTGTCTGTATCACTGACAATAACATGTTTGTAGGTATTGCAAGGTAGGTAACTCCATAAATAAAATATAGTATGCATCTTTTTTAAATTTTGGCCACAAAAACTCTAAATTTTTTTTGCACATGCCTTGGGACGAAAAATGTTAATTTAAAATATTAGCGACTGAGATGTGTGCGAGCTTGAAATCAACTTAAAACCGTCAAAGAAATCATAATAAACAGCAATAATTGGTTAGCAATGCTTCTCGACGCCGAGGTACATCTCAATGAGTAAGCATACGGAAACACATATGCTACAAACTTAGAAACATGTGTAAATATTTTTAAACCAGTTTTTCGCTGAGAAGCAAAACACCGGCACATTATGTTGTGTTCGATTAAAGTGTTCGCTTTTTAGGTATTTTAGGTATTTATTTAAAAATATTCTTATTAACTATTAATGTTTAAATTGATATAGCCTATGTGAGATATAGAGATAATTTGAAGCTTCTTGAACAGTGTTTCGATTGAAGTTACAAAATATCGTTTTTATGTATATGTATGTAAGTACAAATATCCTACTAAGTTATATGAATTATAGTTGCTTTATTTTAATGAATTTAGCAATAGTCGTGCAGGGCGCTTCGAATGGACTCAAAACGTAATTATTTCTCATTAAACTACACAGCATTGAAATGGGGAAATAAAAAACAAGTCTCGTAGCAAGCAAATAAGCAGCAGTCAGGTATAACCAACCTGAAACTGGTAATAAAACCTCATAACTTTAAGCTTAACCAAGTGTTGAGACATGGACGATGAGTACAATTATACGAGTATGCATGTACATACATATGAACTTATGTATCTAAATATATAAAAGTAATTCAAGTAACTAGTGCTTATTGCAGTCAAAAAGCCCGATGGGGTTTAGGTATTACATGTTTAGGTATTACATGTACATATTAAATACATATATGTATTTATATGTATGCTTATAATGAATGCTAAAGTAGGCTTAGATTTTGTGTACATACACGTATGTACATATGTATGTACAGAAAATAGCGTTAATATAAAAAGGCAGATCTTATGAATTTGACTTTGTTAATCTATGTATGGTTTATATTAAATGTGTTTTTGCAATAAACTCTTTCATAGTTTAGGAATTCAAAAAATTATACAAAATTAATTTTTTAGACAAAGGCCACACATTAAAATAATACCAGTAATTTAAAAATTTATTATTACACTACAAGACTCCATTTCTTAAAAATACGTGCACGTTTCACCTTCTTTAAGTTCAAGGCTATGTCAGCAGTCAATCAGTGTAAGACCTTTTTACAAAATGTTAGACACTGCTTGTCATTTTAAATAGCGAAACAAAATCCAGCAAATGAATATACATATGTACTTACATATCTCATGTATATATACACAGTTCAATATACAGATTTACAAACATATGTATGTATGAATATATAATACATCTGTTAGCAACTAGATAATGTGTAGATGTAAATGCGGATATCAATAAAGTACAGCATTCTGTCTAAAGTACGTGTATATTCATCAACATTTACAAATATAACTGACGGGCATGTCATTGTATTCGTTTATTTAGTATGTACGTTATATTTTTGAATATTAAAGAGAGTAATTAATCACGGTACAGAGGCCAATTTGAACAGTTCAAAGTCTCACAAAACTTTTACAAACTGTGTGGCAACGCTGCTACATGCATATACATATGTACATATGTATGTACTTTGTGAGTAGTTCATACATTGACGAGAACAAAGAAACCGACAATGAAAAAGTAAAAGAACGAGGGGAAGATAAAAACAAATATAAATGGGAAATTTAAAATGTTAGGTGTATGAAAGTGCAAACAATAAAAGATGTTAATTTAAGCAATAGATAATAGTTTACAAATTTAAGGAGTGCGCACACATACACATGTATGCATGAACATTTGTACACATGAATATGTACATGTGTACATATGTATGTGCATAAGTTGAATATTAAACTTACTGCTTCGGTTGCCTTCCTTCACGCGATATGTTAAATTATGGAACCCCAAGTCAACAGCGGGTCTTTTCGGCAAATGCTGTAATGTTTTGGGCTGCGCAGGCACTATCTGTGCCTTCAATTGAGCAGCGCTGCCATTTCCACTTATACCCAATCTGTTATCATTTAACAGGTTTTTATTTTCGTTCTCGACCATTTTGGTACGTCGTCTTGGACGCTAGTATTAAGAAATTAAATATTTCAGAAAAATTATCAAAAACTTAACATTAACAGGTTTCGTGTGTAAGTTGCGCAGTAATTTTAATTTTTCTTTTCAGCCTACAGCTGTTGTGTGCGCGTATATACGATTTTTTTGCCTCTGTTCTATTACATTTCCACCACCGCTTTGCTGATGTGGGCCGTTTTTATAAATTTTCCACCCGATTCCTACTGCGCAACACTTCGCAACCCGCTTGAAAACCTTCCGACTTGACACGTTCACGTCGCGATCGCAACTGCCGAGAGTATTTGGTAAACTTGCACTCTACAGCCATATAACAGAACTCGGTGGCATAGCTTGTATATACGGGGAGATTTCTATATATCTTTCTCTTTTCTGCAACAGACATTTCGATATGGTGCTTTAATTCCCCACATTCACACTCTAACAACAGTATGTTAACGACGCTGTTAATGTGTAGAACAAATCGAATACACTCTTTTTGCTTTTGATGAGTAGTGATTATACATATTGGAGCTTAATGGAAGGCGTTGGGCAAAACGACTTCGCTTATGAGCTTGTAAGGTTTCTCTTGACCCACGTTTTGACTCGCATTAGTAGGACATTACTGGCATCTTTGTAAACATTCTCGAATCTCAAGAATTTTGGTCTTTACAAAACACCATTGCACGTTACCGTGTCATGTGTTTTCTAATTTTATGAAACCCGTAACCACTTTATCTAAACTACAAGTCAGATTGTTGTGGTCAGCCGACGCTGTTAATTGTTAGTTACGAAACCCATATGTACTATGTATGTATGTACATACATATGTATTATTAATCAGTATGACAAACCGTTGTATACATCTCTGTCCGCAAGTCCTTTCGTTTGTATGAGTGCAAGTATAGGAGCTTGATTCATCAAAGTTTGCTAAATTTTCTCCTAAGACCAGCAAACGACTCGTTTATGTTTCCGAAAAATTTGAAAAGGTATTAAATAACCTAAACGGCGACTCTTATAAATCAAAGCCTACCAGGCATAAATAAGCAGAAGACAAATCAACGGCTGATGATTGCGTGTGTATTTTACTATAAGGATCGTGCAGTTATTTGTTGTGAAATATGACCAATAGGAGAACACCAAGGTTGTTTGCATTTCAGGTCGTACCGTTAAATTCATGGACGCATCTTCATACCACAACTAAATCAGTTGTTGCTTACATTCAATTTTCAATTTCGCAAGCTGGTCTACTTGCTGTTCATTCATGTGCGCCTGTTACCGTGCTATTGGTACAGGGAGTTTCCCTGTCGGGCTTGCTTGACTGTAGCATTCCTCCTGTTATTAACAAATTAATTTCATTTATTTATTTTAATTTTCAAATAAGTTGTGCCCGCTCAATTATAGAATTATATTCTTGTTTTTTACAGTCCTATGGTGAAGCTGTTAGCTTGGGAAACACCTTATTTACTTCATATGAATTAGAACTGGTCATCGAACGAAGCCGCCTAGTTGGAAACTAATACCATGGGTGGGAAAAAAACTGACGTTCTCGTACATGTCGACGCGCATTGTGTCATTGGGTTACAAATTACGTTATTGTGCACCTTGTCTCTGAAATACTTACCTACTTATAATATACTAGCGTTTCCGGCTTGCGTTGCTGCACCACAGCATTCTAGTACTTTTTATACTCTGTACATGAAATGTATAGGCGATTATACGAATGGAAAATCGGGAAAACCCCCATAGAGGGGAAGTGGGGGGGGGGGGGGGGGAATCAAAAAAATAAAACAAACTCGTATAGACTCTATCTCTTATAGTCTCTGAGATCCAGGTGTTCATACGGACGGACAGACAGACAGGGCTAGATCGACTCGTCTCGTCATGCTGATCAAGAATATATAACTTTGTAGGGTCTGCCACGCCTCCTTCTACCTGTTACATTTTTCAGCTCCCGCAAACCTAATATACTTCTGTACATTTCATGTACAGAGTATAATAATTAATAAATAATTAAATTAATTGAATTAATTAAATTTAAAAAATATTGTTTTTGTGGGTGGTACAGGGTATTTAAGAGTGAGCCTGCTCGACTTTAGCATTCCTTTCTTGTTTTTTAAGTTTGATGTTTATGCTTGGTAGATGGCGCTATAGCCCAGTTTTTCGATACATCTGGCAGCACTATGGCGTAATGTTGCTATTTAAAAAAAAATACAGCCACCGGTTATGAAAAAATTTTTAGATTTCGCAATTTTAGTCACAATTGTATTTACATTTGTCTGAACTCTGAGTGTAGAGCTAGTTCCGATACATATCTCAACTTATATATAAGTTATATATTCATGTACGTGTATATACTTGTATGTCTGTATATATGCAAAAAGCCAACGGACAATAATAATTAGGAAAAATAAATTAAAACTCAATAAGAACATTTGCTTTTAATTGTAGCCTTTATCGCGATGTCATTGCTTTCGAATAATAAAATTGATACTTGCATATGTATGTACATATGTGTTTGTATATATGCATGTTTATGTTGTCAACAGTTGATAAAGAAATGCTAAAGTAATTTTGCTTGCAGCAATCCCATATAAAAAACATCGTGGAATGAACTTTGTACCATCTATATGAGTGAGAATGTGTATGCTTATATGGATTTAAAGTTTACATATACAAGTATGTAAGTATGAGCGGAAAGATTGACAAGAAGCGAAGATTGAAAAAGAGCGCGCATGCGCCGTTTACAGCCGTTTGAACTGTTGCTCTTGCATTTTTCTTCCTGAGGGGTCTTAGTACAGGCTACTTTGAATCAGAAGAAAGTGTTATATGATTTGTGATCCCAATGAAACGCACTTGATGTGGCAATATAGCGAGAAAAACAAATATGTGCACAATAACTATAGGAATTACAAAAATTAAGAAAATCCATTTTACCATATTCCACATAGGAATTGTGTCAATGGCAGAATATGGGAGTTATCACTAATTTCTATGGTGGAGAGGGAGGGACAAAAATTCCACAATACAAATTTTGCGTATTCTTCTAAGGCATCTTGGACTAAAATTTGGTGTCCCTGGGTCGTATAATCTCAGAGATATAAGCATTTTCGAAAATCCCCCATAGCGGAAGTGGGGGAAAATCGAAAAAATAAAACAAATAATATTATAATTTTATGTATCTATCGTTTATACTTGTAGTCTCTGAGATCCATGTGTCCATGCGGACGGACAGACAGACAGACAGACAGACAGAGTTCGATCAACTCGTCTTGTCATGCTGATCAATAATATACATATATACTTGTACTTTGCGGGGTCTGCCATACCTTCTTCTGCCTGTTACATTTTTCACCTCCCGCAAACCTATTTCATGTACGGAGTATAAAAACGATTTGCAAGATACCATAAAATGAAAATTTAAAAGTTGTGTACGATATTAGTGTACATATGTACGTGGGGTATATACAACTTTCCCTTAGTTTAATATTCATATTTGTCTTTATTTTATATTTCAACTCAACTCACGTATGGTTAATCGGATGCTCAATATATCCAATTGTTACTGTACACAAATACTTGTTTGAATTTGTATGTATGTATATGTATGTATGTCCAAATGCGTGGATTTTCTGTTTGGAGAGTTTTCCCGTTAAGAGAATATTTTTGTATAATACAAAAAGCTACATACGTATGTATATGTTAACTTATATGTGGACATACAAACATAATTAAACTCTCCGCGCCAAAAATGTTCCACGACGTTGGCCAGATTCCACCACGAAAAAGAGAGTACTCTCTTGGTTTAACATTTAAACAGTATAAATAATTATTATTGCTGGCGCTTTGTGTTGTCTGTTTTGTCGACTGCAAATGCGATAAGGAAAAATCGAGCATAGCTCGCTATGATGAGCGAAACGAGAAAAGTGAATGTTGTCGTACAAAGTGTGTTCACAAGCCTTCCAAACTTCGAATGGATTGGACGTTCGTTTCGCAATTGAGTATAAAGCGCGCAGTTTCGCGATCAAACTAAATTCGAAACTAAAATAGTACATATTTTACTGAAAGTCGTGAATACCAGCAAGTGCATTGTAAGTTGACAAAGAAAAACAGAGTAGCGCAAAAAACAACAAAAATGCAAAATGAAAGTACATTAAACAGAAGCATGCGTTGAAAGTAATTACATAAAACAGAAGGCGAGCAAAAGTGTGCAAAATTGCAAGCTGAATGTGGAAGTTTTGAAACGGTGCTTTGTGCGCATCTACACCTTCGTCAAACGTACTTAAATTGTCCTTGAGATTTCCATTTAGTACATACATACATACATACGTGTACATACATTCATCGAGAATCAAAGCACATGCAGTCACATACATTACTTCAATATTGACCATTTATTACCTTAATATAAAGGTGCAAATCTATATATCACCACAAGAAGAATCAACATGGCTCTCCGCATAGCTGCACTTATCCTGAAGAATGAACTGACTCCCAATGTTACGCAGCAGTTGCGCCAAATGCGTACGTCGAGTGTTGCGAGGTCACAATTCCTGAAACATTCACCCAATACGGCGCTGGACAAGAGCATTCTCCAGCGTTACCGTAACCTGGAAACGCCGCCCAACCGAGTGCAAGCTACCTACCTCTGGATTGATGGCACTGGTGAGAATATACGGCTAAAGGACCGTGTTCTCGACAAAGTGCCGAGCTCTATAGAAGACTTACCCGACTGGCAATATGATGGCAGCTCCACATATCAGGCACATGGCGAGAACTCCGATACTACTCTTAAGCCACGTGCCATATACCGGGATCCATTTAAGCCAGGCCAAAAGGACATTATTGTGATGTGCGACACATACAATGCAGATGGTAAGGCCACCCCATCAAATAAGCGCGCTGATTTCCAGGCTGCTGTACAAAAAATTGCGGATGAAGAGCCTTGGTTTGGCATCGAACAGGAGTATACACTGCTTGATGTGAACGGACGTCCCTTTGGCTGGTAAGAAATTATTTATATACGTCTCCTTTTTGGTCCGATAGAAACGTATATTTTGTTCGCAATACGGTAGCGGAGTCATGTTTTGTAACCGTTTCATTTTTTTTTTGTAACTACCTTACATTTTAGCTGATTTCAAACAAGTATTTATTTTTAAAATAATAAATTTGCATATACATACAAGTATGTATGAACACGTATACTCTATTAAATTAGACTGACAAATTATTGTACATACATTTTTCTTAACCTAGGCCAAACAATGGGTTTCCTGCACCTCAAGGCCCTTACTACTGCGCCGTGGGTGCCGACCGTGTGTATGCACGAGATCTTGTCGAGGCACATGCAATTGCCTGCCTATATGCTGGCATCGATTTTGCCGGCACCAATGCTGAAGTGATGCCGGCCCAATGGGAGTACCAGGTGGGCCCCAGTAATGGATTGAAGGCTAGTGATGACCTGTGGGTGTCGCGTTACATTCTTCAACGAATTGCTGAGGAGTACGGCGTTGTAGTTACCTTCGACCCTAAGCCAATGGAGGGTCAATGGAACGGTGCGGGGGCCCACACAAATTTTTCCACCAAGGCTATGCGCGCAGAAGGCGGCATTAAGGTCATTGAAAATGCGATCGAGAAGTTGAGCAAGAAGCATGAGCGCCATATCAAGGCCTACGATCCAAAGGAGGGCAAAGATAATGAGCGGCGACTTGTCGGTAGGCTGGAAACCTCCAGCATTGATAAGTTTTCATGGGGGGTAGCTAACCGGGCCGTCAGTGTTCGTATCCCTCGTGGCGTGGCCACTGCCGGTAAAGGCTACTTTGAGGACCGTCGGCCCAGCTCCAACTGCGATCCGTACGCCGTCTGCAACGCACTCGTCCGCACTTGCATTTTGAATGAATAGACAGCTGTTGATAACAGCTCTCTCGACCGTGCCAACAGCTGGAATTTGGTTTTTGTTGCATATGCCCATACATACATACCTACATACATATATATTGTCTGTGCACAGACATACATAAGTATATGTATAAATAGTATACGCGCGTATCTAGCCGTTCTGGAAATAGTCGGTCAATCGTAAAATTCCAATGTTTTTATAAATTGAGTAATAGGTTTTGTTGTTATTTAAAAGACAAAAAAGAGTGGGCGGGAGCATTGTTTTTAGGATTTAAGTGAATCAAGTGAAATGGAAAGGAAAAGATATGAATGAAAAATATCACGCAGTTACACATTATTTTAATTATGTAATTTGTTGGCACTGAAAATACACTCAAATGCATTTATTAATTACAATTATTATAATCAAGATGTGTATTTGTATAATTATAAATTAGGATCGTTTTGTTTTAGATTCGGCCTCTTGTTCATATCTATATTCAAAATATATATTACATACAAAATTAAATTATTTAAAATCACATTACGAAATAAATAAAAAATTGTTGAAGTCAACTAATTTACAGCAACGTATGTGTATTTTTTGAACATTTCTTGCCCATTATTATTGAATGTAGTTGTCATTGTTATACTATAGATACATATACGTGTATGTACGCATGCGAGTACATACATGTATATAAATATATATCTGTATAAACAAGTATTATGTATGGTATTTAAGTATACGTAGATAGTTTGTCCACTTTATTTTTATTTTATTTTTGTTGAAGAAATGGGCTCTTTTGTCGCTGATCTTACTAATTCGCATCATTAATTTTTACATCCAGTCAACTTCACTAAGCCGGCTTATTCAAAGTTTGCTATTTGCGAGTAGCATTTACATATATTTGATTGTATTTTAAAATCGGCTTAGCGAGCACATTAAGAAAACTTGGTTTGTAGGCAATTTTTATTCTTCAATTTTCTTCAATCTTCTGGATGTGCAAAATCTCTTACCAGGAAAAAAGAAATGTTAATCTTCCCTCGCCTAGACTCTTGATTATTGACAAAATCCAAATTAAATATATGATGTTTATTTTTATAACATAAAACACGTTTTTGTTGTCTTAAACTGCAGGCCCATCGAGCTATGGTGAGACTTGTTTATCTGATGATGAAATTTGCATAAAGTAAAAATTTTAAAAAACTTCCTATATGCCTAAACAAATTCAGCAAAGTGCTGGTTATTCTAGATGATCAAGCTAAAATACCTATATTTTTTGGCGCTCTCGCACGTTCCCTTTAGGTGCTACATGCATGCATGTATGTATGTACTTATGTGCATTTACAATATCCTGCGTATATTACATTATCTTGATTGCTTGATAATTGATTGTACAATAAAAAATTTCAAAATGTTCGAAGAAAGTTTTTGTTATTTATAGTTTTTTCTATAAAGTTTCTCCATTGGTGGTTAGAACGCGTGCATCCGTTTGGTGGCAGCTATTTCGAAGGTTATCAGCTCCATTATTATCAAGCAGTAATAAATCATGACTAGAAGTGGAAGTTTTGGAATTGCCAACAAAAAGCGCAATCTTTTTCATGTACGCCAGTATTCTTTTTTCGCGCACGCTAATCGGGTTATACGTGTATGTATGTATATATGTACATATGTTTGCACATATGTACATATGTGTGTTTGTATATTAAGTATACGAATGTATCGTGGAAAGAATTTAATAATAAACTCTTCATCAGTACTTTTGGCCTTGGAAGAATCGACCTAAAGGGTGTTATGTTACTAACCGCCGCACAAGCTTCCACATTTTATTTATCATAGGAACTTAAATTTGAACAACAAACTTTTCAAGTATTTGATACTAATTTAATATTAGTATTATTGCTTATATGTATATGAATCCAGAAAGAATAAACTGAATACAAAACAGTTGATAAAAACGGGTTTACTGTTATCGCAACTTGAAAAATAAACAAACAAAAATAACAAATGCTTCAAGCTTTGTATTATTATGTTTTATATTGTTGATCTGCTGGAGTTCTAACATACACTTAATTATAGATAGGAAGAAAACAAAGAAACTCAAATTTATGTATTCTTTTGTTCTTCAAAGACGAAGCAATTATACTCTAGCTATATTATTATTATTAACATACATGTTTTAATATAATATAGAAAAATTTGTTGATTATCATATGTGCCTGGGCATGACTATACTTTTTTTTAAAATAATATTTAATGTTTGTTAATTATACCCCGTTCCCAAGGTCAAAACGTATACTAGTTTATGCGAGAAGGTGTGTCAAGTCCCCTAAAGTATATGTATTTTAGATCAGTACGATGTGTTGATATAGCTATGTATGTCTGTCAGTATGGATCTCGTATCTATATTTTCTTAAGCCCGAGAAAGGATTATATTAATGAATTATATAATATAATATATATATTATATTAATTTTATTTACAATTGACATATAATGATGAAACTTGACCTGTAAACACATAAGCCCTTTTTTCAAGTTTCATCCAAATCGGCTATCCTATGAAACGTTACGGTACGTTTTTTGGGTGCAGTAACATTTTCTCCTCTTTGCTTGAACTGTAAATAAAACTAAGGCAATGCGTTTTATCAGATATCTATAGAAAATTTGGTGTTTAATCTTAAGATTTACAAATAATTGTAAAACAAAGACTTTATAGTCCAATGGCTGTAGCGGAGGAAAAGCTGTTTACAGGGTATTAAAGATTCGCACTGCCACCACATTCGCGTTCTACACATAATACTATCTGTAAGTAGTGTGTATGTAAGCTTTCTGCATCCATGCATTCTACATTTCACAGCTGTTTTACACTTTTCCCCTTGAAAACAAAAGCCTTCCGAGATGGACTAGTAAGTAAGCAGAAAGAAAACACGAATGTATCACGTGTGAATACAAATTTACGTTTAGAGTAGATATGTATGCATGTGAATACATACATTCACATATACGCTAGGAACCATTTTCTTACGGTTTCTTAATTTTCCATTATTTTCATCTGTTCCGAGAAAACGAGGCCTGCTCAAAGAAAAATTGAATATATAGTTAATATTAAACAATATAGAATGCTAAAGCCGAGCAGGCCTACAGTGAAATACCCTGTACACAGACAAACTTCCGGCGCTGAGTTATGTTCGACAACAGCAGAAGAAAAGAGGAGAATAAGAGCAAACTACATGCTGAACTTTGTGGGCGTAGTACTGGAGTGATATTGTTTCCATAATAACTTTTCGTGGAATTGATTGATGTGGATGAAATTTAAAACAAAAGTATGTAATTGTATTAAAATTACGTGTGCACAGTTTGGTTAATGTAGCTTTCAAAATGTGTTGCCTGGATATTAGAAGAGCCTACAAACCAAGTTTTTTGAATGGGGCTCAGCCGCCTCCGAAATCCAGACGTTCATCCAGACAGACGGACAGACGGACATGGCTATATCGATTCGTCTCATCATGCTGATTAAGAATATATATACTTTATGGGGTCGAAGATGATTCCTTTTGCCTGTTACATACTTTGCACAAATAATATGTATACCCTTTTTAGCCTACAGGTACAGGGTATAATGAACCGAAAAATATTCAACGCATAGGAAAGTGGAGACTGTCTGGGTATGTGTGTGCATGTACTTGTATGTAGTATAGAGTTGAATAAACATTTTTTATACCCTGTACCCGTAGGGTAAAAAGGGTATATTAGGTTTGTGTAAAGTATGTAACATACAGAAGGAAGCATCTCCGACCCCATAAAGTATATATATTCTTGATCAGCATGACGAGAGAAATCGATCTAGACATGTCCGTCCGTCTGTCCGTCCGTCTGTCCGTCTGGATGAACGCGAGGATCTCAGAAACTATAAAAGCTAGAATAACCAAATATGGCATCCAGATTCTCCTAGATCCGAGTAAGGACGAGTTTATTATTTTTTTTTAATTTCCCCCCCCTTCCCCCGCTACAGAATTTCGTCAATAGCGTCCTAAACCAAACTTTGCACACATAATTTATAAATAATTATCTACTGTTGTTCAAAATTTTATTCAATTCTGTCAATTCTAAGAAAAGTTATTAGCGAAACAAATTCTCGCCAGTACAACCCCCACAAACTGCAGCAACAAGTTCGCTCTTCTTCTTCCTCTTTTTGCTGCTGCTTTGGGCGCATATAACTCAGTGACGGAAGTTTACTTGGGTACAGGGTATTACACTGTCGGGCTTGCTCGACTGTAGCGTTCTCTCTTGTTTTAGTTATGTGATCGGTACAATGGATTCTGGGTAAAAACTTTATAATTATTAATAATTTTCTGGCAGTATTTCTTGGTCCAATCTCGGCTGCCTGTAGATACATAAATATATATGGGTGTTTATAGTACATATGTATGTACATATGTATGTTTTGCGTCATAAATTTCGCACGCGCGTCCCAAGTGATTTTTGCTCTTTGACTGGGCCGGCACGTTGAACCGTTTTCTGCTTTCGCGACTAAAAATGCTCCTACAGTTTATCAGCATTTTATTTAATTATTTGTATATATTTTAACGTGATCAACTTCGTGGTGGACTATGGCTAAGGGCTTTCAATTTAAATTTCAAGTTATATACATATATACATATGTATATAAACATTGAAAGATATCTCATGCCTGACATACTTTTGTACAAATATATGTATGTTCAAGGTACAATATTACTGCACATTCTTTTAAATACATATGTATGTATAAGAGCTGCTGTTTTTACACAACACCTAAATTACCGTGTACTCGAAGGCTAAAATGGTGTACTATTTAGTTTTGTACAAATGTATGTAACACACATATGTGTATGTATATTCTTGATTAGTATGACAAGACGAGAGTCGATATAGCCATGTCCATCTGGTCCGGGGTGCCACGACGTTTCTGGATGCTGTGGAGGACCCCAACTACAACTAGTTGTGCTCAAAATAATAGTAGTGATATATTTCACAACGTTCGTATTTTTGTGTTTCGTTTCAATTTTAATCCTTTCTTTCTACCTATGTGATCTTCAACAAGAGCACAATAAAATGACGCTTTACTTGAGCTTTTTGTGCACTTGTTGTTGTTGTTATTTGCATTTTCCACAGCTAGTCCCTATTCTACGCGCTCAAAATAATAGTAGTGCTTGCACAAAGATTCCAAAAATATTAAGTGCGTCGCTCCTTAAGCTCACGAAAAGTTGCTAATAGTAAGTTCTATTATTTTTTAATAGTTTACAATAGTTTCCAATACACATTTTAGTTTGTTTTTTTTTTCTGATATGGGTAGAGCCAAGCACTGCACTCCTGAACGACGTGCACTCATTCAAAAATATATATCTGAGGGAAAAACTTACAATGAAGTCCAAAATATA